CAGTATGACCATTTTGACAGCTTCCTGTTTCATAAACAAACAAATACTCATCCTTTCATCCTCAATCTTAGGTACTCTTTGTGCCTGTCCCACACATTTCTTTTACTTCGGTTCTTCTGTATGTTTCTATGTGTTATGTTTTGTTTTATGGCTTTGTTGTAAAGCACTTTGGGTACCATTTGGCTATTGTAAAGGGCTATACATGTACAAATAAACTTGATTGAACTTGATTGACTCCGGTTCTTCAGTCACATATGTTGATGTGTTGTTTTTTGTTTTTGTTTTTTTACTATGGACGTTTTTCACATTATACTTTTGTTTTTGGTGATTATTTTAGTTAAAGGCTCAGCGGTACCTTATTCTAATGCTCCTTTGCTACAGGGGTAGAGGGCAGGATGGCATGTTTATCTGTATTACAGAGATACCTCCTCCACCACAAACCAGAACCCAGTGAATGAAGGTTAGTAAAGAGAAATACGTCATGCTGACATTGCACACATGTGCAATGGAGATTATTTTACTCCAAACAACTGAACAGGTGTTTATTTTGAAGTTAATTGGAATGCCAATCGGAAAAAAACACCTCTCTCAATTGAAAGGAAATTTATTTCCCAAAAGACCGAATCGGATTAGAATCTTCAGTCTGACATGTTTATTGGAAACATTGTGATCTGATGAGGCCTTTAATCTGATTACTGGTGCCCATGTAAACATAGCTAAAGAAGGGTAGACTTCTGACCTTCCTTTTAGAAAAATTGGCTTTGTTGGTCACATATTTATTTTTTTGACATGTGAAAGAATGTATACATTTTTATCTGTTCAATATTCTCACTATATTGGAAAAAAAAAACTAGTGAAATGTGAAGATGCTCATTTTTTATTCTAGCTGCATACTACTTCAACATATTGAGCATTATAGTTGCCCAATAATTGTCTACAGAGAGATATTTTCCAAGGAAATTCAAAACCTTACTTACTAACTTCCTAAGTATTCAGATATATTCATATCTGAGTTTTATAAACATCTATGTTTAAACATAAAATCTGCCTTATAATTGGCTACACAGTGTATTAATGTATTGTTCTGCTTTGAAAAAAAACCTACATTGTCTTGTTAAGAGAAACAAACCTAATGCCATATTTACCAACCTTAAGCTATATTTGGAGCATTTGCAAACACTAACCAACTGCAATCAAACTCACTGATTATTACAGGAATTTCAGGAAATTATGAGCTAGGTAATACAGTATGTGTAGCTTGTTTATTATTATAACCCAATATGATTAAACACTTTAAAACCTGCAAGCAAGGACAGACAGTTGATTAAATAATGATCTATTTAATACATGTAAATTTATCAAGTAGCTCCTAATTTACTGCTTTATAGGTATTCCCTGCATGTGTGAGTGCTGAAAACTCCTCAACAGACAGACGGATATAATTAGACCTACATGCCAGCCTGCTTGAATGCGTGTAAGAGGAAGGTTCGGAGTAACAATGAGAAGCATCACTATTCACAATCTTGCCTTACTGGGTCTGACTCAGGGGTCCCAACAATGAAAAATAAACCCATTTCCCTGCTGCCTCCTTGGAGGCAGAGCAGCGTGGGAGGCTTTAATCTATGTCCTGATGGCAATCGAAACGCCCACATGGATTTCCAAAATGGCTAAACAAATTACACAGCCACAAAGGGTTTGGCTTACTGGGGTTGCCCATGGCAACCATCTAACAAAACTAATTAGATGTCATAAGTGAAATTAGAAAAAAAAAGGCTAATAGGGACAAATAAAAGGCTGTTTGAAAAATGTAATTGAGAATGGACTAATTCACTACCAGAGGTTCTTATAGCATTGATAAAAATCAGCAGTGTTTGTGCAATTGAAATAGGGCAAACCTTTTGAAAAAAGATTATCGGCTGCTGATCCTGAGCCCTTTCCCCCTTAGACATCTGTCCTCTGGCTTGAATCACCTCTGCAAATAAACACAGCAGGATTAATTAATCTGAAAAATCCAACCAAAACATTCCTATTCCAGAAAAAAGGAGGACAAGTAAACAATACAAAGCAGACCTTTTTGAGTCACCTCCCATTTCCTTATACTTTAATTTGATTTCCAAGAAGACAGACTTTTTCTTAATAATTTCAAATCACCTTAATGAATATGTGGAAGTATTCTAAATCATAATTAAGGAAAAGTACTTTTTGTATAACCTCTGACTAAAAGAAGCCGATTGAATACAACTGAATGTGATCATCGCTGTACTTCCCCAATCATATGTATGCAACACTATTTTTAATGCAGGAATATAAGGCCATGCTGTCAATATAAGCACTGTGCATTTCGGCATTACATTCAGAGATCATATCAAGACTGCTAAACTCACACATTTGATCCAATGGACTAAAATAAATAAAGAAAACTACATTTTTTTCTCTTTTCAAATTTAAGTGACGTATAACCCACAAATATCTTACCGAAATATATACTAATATAGCAGACTGTCAGCTGATGAGTCAGGTGCTTAAAGCTACTGTAGTTATTACAAGATTAGTACCACACCAGATAGCATTTTCCATGCTGATTTTTCTGTACAAAAGTAACAAGATGTTTTTTTAGGCAATTTTTGTTGTTTGGCTATTCTAAAGATTTTCTAATGCCAAATATAATGTAGTGTTCATTTATTGTATAATTTTGAATGGAAGAATGAAGAAAAGTCAATGCGTATATTAAGATATAATAATTTGTCCAACTGCCCCCGACTTACTAGAAAGTCTAACAGATTTAATTATGCTCATTAACCTTTTCCATTGGGAAGAGTTTTTCAAAATTCCAAAACTTCTGAGAAAATCTCTGGAAAGTTTTTTGAAATTTTCTTCCAAATTACAACTTCATAGTTTGGCAAAGGAGATACATTTAAAACACAGTTATCAAAGCCATCTTTTTAAAGAAGGAAGGTGCCCCACAATTTATGTTTTTATATTGCATTGCTTATCCCACTTGTATGTAATACTACGTTTACACCGGACGCAGCAAGAGCAGCAAAATCGCGTCTGCTGCTTAATTTTTGCTGCTTGTACCAGTTAGTTCTGACGTGCGGCTGAAGCAGCTTTGCTGCTCTAGCTGCG